CGGCGTGAGGAGGAGGGCGGCGTGAGGAGGAGGGCGCCTCGATGTCCTGGACGATCCGGAGCGGCACGTCGTGCTGCACCTGGACGGCCGAGTCGCTCAGCAGGATCTCGAACGTCAGCGTCGGCGCGCCGCCTCTCTTTTTCGTCAGCTTGACCTGCGCGACAGCCCCGGATAGGGCTCTCGAGGGGGCAGAGGGGAGCGGGCGGAGCCGGCGCGTGCGTGCGCGCGCGGTCCGGGGAGGGCGGACCCACCAATGACTTTGAGTTTGCGTTGGCCGAGCTCGACTTGAGTGCGCGGCTGAGGTTGTCGATCTTGACGAAGAACGAGATCCGGTTGTTTTCGGCGCGCGACTCGATCCGGTAGTCGAGGAAGAGAGAGTGAGTGGAGAGCTCGGCGCAGGCGTGCACACCGCTGTTGCTGCTCGCGGCGACGCCAAACGAGATCGTGTCGGGGGTCATGTGCACCACGCACGTGTCGGAGAGCTTGCCCAGCATCGCCACCAGCTCTGCGAGCGTGGGCAGCGATGAGAGAGGTGGCAGCCTGCGAGGATGTGTTCGGTGGCAGGGCGCGCGGGCGCGACGCACGGGAGAGCTGCTTGGGCGAGCCGATGGTGCCCTTGAACCGCATGTGTTTCCTCGTGATCGGTGGAGAGGCAACACCGAGCGCGGCAAGAATGGCATTTTTTTTGGTAAAATTACAGTGTGAAAAAGAGAGAAAAGAAAGCGCGCGCCGCGCGCGTAAGCGGCGCGCAGCGCCGCCGCAGGCGGGGCGCAGCAGGGGCGCAAAATTAAACGCCATTTTCGGTTCCGCGGTTTTGCCACTAACATCAAAATCCGGTATAAAGCACTCAAGGGGCGCCGCGCTGGGCCCCTGGCGCCTCTCACTCTACGGATGCCAACCAATCGGTTGCATCATGGTGTGAACCCTTCTGAACCCCTTCTGAACCCCTTCTGAACCCCTTCTGAACCCCTTCTGAACCCTTCTGAACCCCTCCCTCACTCCGAAGGCGTGCCATGTACTATCTATGAGCCATTGCGCTTTCGCCGCCGCTTCTCCTTCGCCTCCTTCGCCCGTTCCTCATACAGTCGCACGGCAGTCGGGTCGCCCGCATCGTATAAACGCCGTTCCTCCTCCCGTTTCCTCTTCTTCGTCTCCCTCGCCCGTTCCCGCCAGCCGTCACCCCCCGCCCTTGTTTGTTTCTCTTGGCACCGTGGAGTGCTGGGGGGGGCGACAGGGAGGATATGGCCTTGAGTTATGTGTACGCCAACTCAGGGTGTGTGGCAGCCCGCTGGCTGTGTGTCTTGTGAGCCTGTTTGTGTCTGTGTGTCGCTCGTGCGTGCCGTCATCATCTGTCTAGCGTCCACCCATACCGCGTTGGTGTCCAGTCCGAGCCTGGCTGTTCTTCACCTTTCTACCTACCTACCTACCTGCGGTCTACCAAGTCTACCGGTAGACTGGGGTCGTAGGTTCATTGGTAGACTGCGGTAGACTCGTCTACCAAACGGTCTACCGTCTACCCCAGTCTACCCCAGTCTACCGGTAGACGGTAGACGGGCCACCCCTCAGGGGGCCACATCAGTTTGATATTTGATTGCTAATGACCCCTTACATATGTGGCACTGACAAGTTTTTCGCATAGGTGTCGGGACAACCTTAAATTCTGCAAAGGGGTGTGAACGGAGAGAGCAAACTCCTGGCAGCTCCCACAGCCGAAATGTGCGCCAGCTGCCCGCTCACCTGTGTCACGCCGCCGCGCACGCACCTTGCTATGTGCTCGCGCGAGCTCCCGCCCGAACCTCCAGCTCGGCGTCC